CAATTTGCAAAGGTTGGAAGTCATGATGCTTATGTTTTGCAAAATATGCACTTGTACAATTATGTGGAGTTAGTTTGGATCGTTTATATGCTTGCTTAAATACGAAACCTGCGCCTATATGTTTATTTCTAATTGTTTGGGAATGGTCTTATACTTTCCAAATGTGAAAATTTGCATTGGTAGCCATTACATATGTTGGTTTAAATTGTGTTCTTGCTGCCCTCATTTAACGTCCATCCTGGAGAGTACTATTTGTGTTGTTAGCCATTACATACTTTCCAAATGTGAAACACTGGATATTGTCATTCATATGCTTGTATACTTTCTTAGTTGTGCAAATTGCAGGTGTGAAAAATCCATTTTTATGTCGTTATGTTGCCCGATTTTTCTCGATCAGGTTCGCTCTTTTTTTTTTTACTTATCTGGGCATGTTGCTTCTTTGCCTTTTTTGACTTTGGCTTTCTCATATATATCCCAACTTCTCATTATTATTTTAACTTCATTCCACCACCTCACTACACTATTTTGCTACATCACCCCACTTCCTACATTACACTACTTTACCCACTCCGCATCTTACACTATATCAGATACTACATCACTTCACATCCCTGCACCACGCCGGGAGAGGTTTAACTGCTTTAACATGTATTCTGATTTTCTTTGATATTGAGAAACAACCCACCTCCTTTCCGGAATTGTGTTAGGTGTATTGTATTCTCCTCTCTCTCCTCTCATCCCTTGTTTCTCCTTGCTTCTTGGTCTAAATCCCGCACTTGTGTAGGACGCGCGGGTGTGCACGTATAACACTCTTGCTATATGTGGGGCTATCAAGCAAGATTGTAAGTGGAGTGTCTGAGGTTAAGAACGATGATAAAATTGCATTATAGAGAATCGGGTCCCTTAGAATAGTATCTCCCAACTCAGAGACTCTGGAGAGGGTAGAGTAGGGAATTTTTACAGGTACTATTCGCCCAGCCTTGGGGTTTCTACCACCGGCAATCTAAAGTTGCTAGTAGTCCTAGTTCGACTAAAATATTCAACTTGTGGATCGAGTTATTTAAAAAAAATATAAAAAATATATATATATACATTTGAAAAATACAAAATCACCTCCATTACAAAACAACCTACTTACCTACGACTTTTACTTGCATGCAGATCCAGATTGAAATGTATGAAACATTTTACAAAGGTCCACGGTTGGCTACTCGAGTCCGATTAGGGATGCCTTCTGCAGAAGGTCGGTCTTGTAGTCAGTATTTAAGGTTGTGGTCTACAACACAACTTTGAGTCCTCCTCACCACCAAGCTTACGGTCTTCTTGAACTTGTAGTCCATTCTGGTGTTTTCTTTGTTTTCGTTCTTTCTTTCAGATTTTCTACAAGTTTACCTCTATGGATTTATTCGGATTTCCTACGAACTTTGTTTTGTTTCAGATTTATTACGGAATGTTCTTTTTCAATTTTTTCCGCCTTTTTGATTATTTTATTTCGTTTCTCATACACACATTACACACACACCTGCCCAGTGTAGTTTGCTTATTCAATCCTTCAGTGTATATTATTTTGCTGGATGTACAGTTTTCACATTACCACTGCATGATTTCATTGCATATTAACATGTTTTTCTTTTACACTCTTCCCTAGATTAGGATGCCAGTAGCAGCTCCTAGGTGGTACCCACGATAAATTGGTGACATCACCTTTTGCATTATTTCAACCTTAAACAATTTGATCATTAAATTCGACGCTGCAACGACGAGGAGCTTGGAGCAAATGCGGTGGGCAGCACAGCCATATTCAACAACAAAACATGTCTACATTAACAAAACCTTTCCTTAGAATTAAACAACAAACCATATGATCTCGAGGTTTAACACGACATAAATTCTCACTTTATCTTTTAGGCATTTGCACAGCTAAACTGTGCAATTTAAGCCCTAACTCGTTCTAGGTTCCGAGGTTGTCATCCGATACGACATAAATTCTCATATCTTCCAGGCGACTTGTGTGACCGTGTCACGCAAATATAAGCCCTAATTAAATAAAATTAGCAGGATGAAACACTTGAATAATTTCTCCTCAAAATTGAAGCCAAACCATAGGATAGACTGGGAAGCCACTGAGGTTTGTCTCAGGATCCGTGGCCTCCCCTAGTTTCTCTTCATTTGGATTCCTCAACAATGTTCTAGATTCGAGCACTTCCCCTTTTACACCTTCTCGTCCGATTTCGTTGAAAAGTCATATCTTTTTGACTTCTTTGAAGATAATATTCCCTGATTTTTATCGAGAGTTTTCTTAAGTGACTTCGGTCATTTAAGATGTAATTAACCATAGGGGCTTGCCCTTATAGGAAGCTTTTCCGAACCCAGCTTAAAATAAACCCTATTTAATTATTTGTATTAAATAGGGGAACTTGTCGGCAA